GGGAGCTGGCCCATCACTCACAGAGGAATGACATCCCAGCTTTCTGAAGACTCTGGCTAGGAGGCTACCTGTCAATATTGCAGCTAGCAGCAGCTGATCACTCATTCATTCATTCATTCATTCACTCACTTCTGGGTGCTTCACTATGTGCCTGGCATCGTGCTGGGTGCCATGGTGAAAAGGATATATAAAGAAGGCATAAGATATTGAGTCTAATTTAGTGTTAAGGCGATCAGGCTTATGTTGGTGGAACAACTAGAGTCAAAAATAAGACAACCTGTGGTTGAATCTGTTACCGTGATTTAGAGATGAATGGGACTTTAGGCAGGCAGCCATGCTAGAGCAGGAACAAGCAATATATTTAGGGTCTCAGGACCCCGGCCCCAGATCCCCTCATCCCAGTGCTGTCAGGGGAGCGCCAGGTAAAATGATAACAAACACAATAGCAGCAGCTATCACTTATTAGGCGCATCAAGCATTGTGCTAAGTCAGTTCTTCAAAGGCATCGCCGTACTTCATTCTCCCAATAACTGTATAAGGTCCGGACTCACCTATTCCTATTTTTACAGATGAAAAATCCAGGCCTTCAGAAACCTACCCAAAGTTTTACAGCCATCAAGTGGCAGCACTAGGCGTGGCATTCAGGTCTGTGTGAGGCCCGAGCCAGGCTGGACCACCTGTATATTAGGGCCTGCAGCTCCCTGGACGGCCTTTCTGCTGCCCAGCGGTGCCTCTGGAGGGTGGTGGTCACTGCCAGGAGCTGCTCTGTATCTTGAGTGTCAGCCCTATTCTGGGGGCTGGACTAGTTCGGAGAGTGGGAAGGCCCCATCCTGAGGCTTTGGAACTCCAAGCAGACCCTGTGGACAGAGGCCTCAGTTTCCTCCCCTGACCTCATCTCTTAGGCTGCTGCCATCTTCCCTAAGAATAGCCGTGTCTGAACAGGGCGCCTGAGGATAGTTCTCCAGCATCTCCAGGCAGAAGCTTGGCAGAGGGAATGCTTCTCCACCCACTGACTTTCCTGTTTCAAGAAGGCCCTTCCATCTGGCTCATTCATTCATGTGTTCATTCAACAAGACATCACTGAGCACCAACTCTCTGCCCTGCCATGGTCAAGGCACTGGAGGGGAGGATGAAGAGGGGTCAGTATGAGGCAAGGCACAAATAAAAACAGTCATCCCGGGTGAAACAGGAGGACCACGAGGGAAGCACAGGCCACGTCCTGTGTGAGCCTGAGAGGAGGGCTCACCCCCAGATTTGGCGGGAGTGGAGGAAGGGTACGCATTAAGGAAAGATTCGAGGAGGCGGAATCTGAGCTGGGCCTTGAAGAGAGGGGAGGATTTGAAAACTGTGCAGCCAGAAGGAAGCCATGCCAGGACACAAGCCTGGTGGTCTGGGGAATGGGGACAGGCCCACGTGTGGAAGAGAAGCCACGTGTGGGAGTCAGCATGGCACTGGAGGGTGGGCCAGCCGATTTTATCTGTGAACTGTGTGCTGTGGCACACGTCACCTTGGTCACAGCCTAGCCCTCTGGAGTCGGTTCAAGAGAGCTGGAAATCAGGCCCCAGAGTCCCAGGAAGAGTCTTGACCCCACGTGGCTGGCCTAGCCGGGGACACACTTCCCACACTGTCCTGGGCTGCCTATTGTTCTTGAAAAGCCCTCCACTGCCACGCAGGCCGATCAGCCCAGCGAACTTTAGACCACAGGGCATCAGGGCTGGAAGGGAGGTTTAGAGCATGTCACCCAATGATCTAAACTTAAAAAAATATATCTATGGGATCCCATCATGCAAAGAGAATCACAGGAACCCCAAAGAGAAAACGGAAACGGCTCTAGTTAAAGCAGGTTGGGGGACTCCCCATTCTACCTCCCGTCGCTCCCAAAGGACCTCCAACAGCACCCCTGGGAATCTAAGACTTGGAGGAACACAGTTTGAAAACCACTGATCTGTCCGGCCGTGTGGCTCAGTGGTTGAGCGTTGACCCGTGCACCAAGAGGTTGCCGGTTCAATTCCCGGTCAGGATACATGCCCAGGTTGTGGGCCTGATCCCCAGTGGGGGGTATGCAGGAGGCAGTGAATTGATGTTCTCTCTCATGGATGTTTCTCTCTCTCTCTCTCTCTCTCTCTCTCTCTCTCTCTCTCTCTCTCTCTCTCCCTTCCTCTCTCTCTAAAATCAATAAAGGAAAAAAAAACTTGAAAACCACTGATCTACCTCCTCTCAATTTAGAGGTGGGGAAGCTGAAGCCAGGAGAAGAGATGAAGGGGCACCAGACCACTTGACCAATATTTAGGGCTCTTCTCGGTTTTGGTCTAAGATCAGGGAAGCAAGCAGACTAAATACAGAGATGGAGAAGGGCATGGTTTCCCAGGTTTCCGCTCCCTTTCTTGGTTGCAATGATGCCTGGGGCCTGGTGGCTGGAGCAGCCCCAAACGCCCCACTCTGCCTGGTGGCAGCTGGCACTGTGCTGCCTCACCCGTGGCTCATCTCATCCTCAGTCCACCGGACGAGGGAGGTTGGACCAGGTCCACTGCTTCCGGGAAAGGGGTGTGGGGCACAATCAAATCCTCACCTACAGAAAAGGGCCCTCTGGGTAAAACGGTTGTTCTCCATGTGCTGGGCATTTTATTACAGTATTCACCAAAGCATTTTCAAAGACCTGATTCTATTTGATTCTTACAATCAGCCTGCAAGGTAGATATTCTCCCCTTTTACCACTGATAAAGGTGAGGCTCAGAGAGGCTGAACGAGTTGCTCAATGTCACACAGGAGGTAAGGAGGCAGTCGTCTCACCCAGGCCTTCTAACTCTGGGTCTACAGAGCCTAGTGTGAGCGAGAGACGGAAGGAGGTGGCTGTGCGTGCGCGCGCGTGCATGTCTCTAGTTTGGGGAGGCGGCCAGAGAAAAGTGGAGAAGAGGAACTGAGGCTGAGAGTGTGTCTGTGAGTGATTATAAAGCAATTGCTCCTTTAGTCATATGCATCTCACTTGAGACTGTAGGAGCCACAAGGGAGGGACCCCTGGACCGCAGTGTCTAGTTCAGTGCCTGTCCCAAGACGGGCGCCTAGTAAATATCTGCGGCATGAACCTGATTAAAGAGGGCATGATTGTGACCTTGTTTCTGCCTTGCCCACAGCCCATTCTCCTCTCCCAGGTCTGACATCTTCCCACTTCCTTTTCTCCTGCAAATGTGGGGAAACACATGTAAGAGAGAAACAACAACTATGCAGGGCGTCCTTGTGAGGTGGGTCCTTGCCACCCCTCCTGGAACATGTGGACTCAATCCCAGCTTCCCCCTTCAAAGTCCCCCGACCCTGCCTGTGTTCCCCAGGATGAAGTGCCAGCAGCTCCAGGAAACAGAACAATCATGATCACTGGTGATTGCAGAGGCCACTCGTCTGGGCTCTGGATAGCTGAGACCAGTGCCTAGCTCAGCAAAGGGCTAAAGAAGATATCTGAGCTCAAGATGCACACTGTCTGGACTGATTTCTCCAGCTCCTCTGAAAAGAATTGGGTTGCTCACTCTTCTCCTTCACAGCCTGCCTCCTGTCTCAGCCCCAGGGCAACACCGTGTATAACACATGCTTTGATAGACACAGGAATCTTCTCAAAGATATATAACCGATGAGAAGCCCCTGCCCAGTGCTCTCTTCCTGCCAAATGTCCCAGAGACACTTGCATCTGAGTGCCCAGGGGAACAGACACTCTGGGAGACTGAAACAGACAGTGGGCACTCCTCCAGGGCTTGACACATGTGATTTGCAGACGAGACACCTGGTACTGTCTCATTCCCTGACATTAAGAGAACAGCTTCCTGGCAGCACTGCTACCTCCCCAATCCTGAGAATTGGCTCCAGCTGCTACAGGGGCCGCGTCCTGGGGTCTTCTCCTTTCCTTTAGGGCTCTAATGATACTCTTTCCACCCCAGCAGGCCTGGCATCAAACATAACACAGTACGTGATGACAAGGCTGAAAAAGCAGGTCCACTTTATTTACAATGATCAGTTGGTAACACATAGATCTTTGGGCTTTTTGTGGCTTTGTTGACAGACACCTGGGTAGGGGCCCACTCCCTCTGTTGAAGAAACGTACCCTTCTTCCTCATCCTAATTTGAGAATCCAGCTGCTGCCAGGACCCTCCTGCTCTGACAAACCTCGACTTAAGGCCACCCCTCCTATGTCCACTTTCTGGGTAGTCAGTGTCCCCAAACACCTGCCAAAGGTTCTTCTTACCTCCTCTGGAGGTCCTGTCTTGGTCCTGGTTGTGGGGCACCTAGTGGGGAACCACACACATCTGTCTGCAGAGAGATGGGGTGGATGAGGAGTCCTGTGGGGATGCCAGGTGCCAGGGCACAGGCTTGGTGCAGAGAGCTGTGACCTGGCCTAATCGGTTGTTTGGGTTGGTAAGACCATCCCAGTCTTCTCCAGAGGTGGAACAGTAAAGTCCCAGAAGTCCTCCAAGGGGTAGAGAGGCCAGGCACAGGGCCTGAGAATTCTTCCTTGTGTGCATGGCAGCCGACTCAGTTCCCACCTTGGGCCTGGCCTCGCTTCACGAGTGCCACTATTCTTCCCCTACAAGAATGCCTCACCAGAAAGAAGGGCGAGGCTGGCCAAAGGCAGGGCCATTGCCTCCACCTGGCTGAGGTCCAAGGCCACCCTCCTGGATTTCTGGTAACTTCTCCCCTCTTATCTTGAGAGGATTTTTTGGTCTATCAAAGAGATGGTGTAAAGCGTAGGAGGCAATTCCACAATGGAGGGCGCCCAGAAACTCCGGGTAGGGGGATAGGTGAACATTGAATACTCCCTTCCCCCACCTTGTCCCCCAGTAATCAAGGGCATATCAGGCGTCACCCTGAGCCAGGATGAGGTGCAGAACAGACAACGGAGACCACGAGGGAAGCAAGGGGCCAGGGGACCAGGGAGGAGCCAAGCGGGTAGGGCCGGGGGTGGAGGCTGTAAGTCAGGCCGGCCGGGTCTGGGGCCGAGAGTCCTGCCGGGTCCGCTCTCAGCGCACCTGGCCCGCCCGCTCCCGCAGGCCAGCCTTCCAGCGGCGGGGCTGTGCGGGCGGTAGAGGCGCTGGGGCACCCCGCAGGCTGCACGTCCTCAGCTCCCGGGTCAGGCTGAGCACCTCGGACCGCTCGGGCTGGGGGGCTCCCTCCTGGTGCTCCTCGGTGTCCTGGTCCTCCTCCTCGTCCTCCTCCTGGATACTGCTGAGACGCGGCACCCCACGGCCGCGCTCGGCGGGCGGTGGCCGGTAGGCGCACTTGGCGTTGAGCAGCCGGCGGAGCGGGGCGCGGGGCACCGAGGCAGCGGCGCCCCCGGCGCGGAGGTGCTGCTGGCGCACGTGGCGCGCGTCGCTCTGGCGCTGCAGGCGCTTGAAGTCGCTGAAGGCCGCCAGCGCAGTCTGGCGGAGCAGGCGGGCCAGGGCGCGCGCCTTGTGCGCCCGCGCCAGCAGCACGGCGTGGCAGCGCAGCACCACGGCCTTGTGGCGCGCCTGGTGGCGGTAGACCCAGGCGAAGACGCGCGGGTGGCGCCCGTCCGCGGTGCAGTAGGTGATGCGCGGCAGCAGGTAGGCGTGCGCCGGCCTCCGGCTCCCCGATCCCCCCGTGGCGCCGCGCTCGCACGGCTGCATGCGGATGCCGTGCGGCCCCAGCGTCAGCTTCATCTTGGTGCCCCCGCCCGGCCCGCAGCGCGCCCAGATCTTGCCCACGGCGTCGTCTGTGCAGCCGTCGCCCTTGGCGTGCAGGGTGACTGCGTTGCCCAGGTACCACACGGTGTAGGTCGGGTCCTCCCTGTTGAGCTCCACTTTCTGGCGTCGGCTGCGGAACACTCGGCCCAGACGCTCCAGCGGCCAGTCGGGCAGCAGGTCCGGGCAGGAGCGCAGGAAGCTGGAGAGCAGCGACGTGTAGGCGAGCCCCGGACTCAGGCTCTTCGTCTTGCACTTGGCCTCATCCTCCACCAGCACGAATTTGTTACGTCTCCAGGGCAGCATCGCAGCGGCGGCCAAAGGGGCTGGGGTCGCCGGGAGCTCACGGGCGACCTGGCTGGCGGCCGGGGTAGGGGAGGGCGCGAAGTGCACGGCCCCGGAGCCACAGGAAGCTGGGCGGTGCCGAAGACAGTTGGTGCCCAGAGATGGACAGTGCGGGACGGGGCTAGCTTCGCAGATGCCCGGTGCCCAGCCGGGCTGGGAGCCGAGAGGTTCGGGCGGCGGCCGAGCGTCCGGGAACAGCTTCCCCCGGGAGTCGCTCAGCCGTCCGGGAAGCGAGAGGCAGGGGCTGGGAGTGGTGGAGGCGCCCCCAGGCCCAAACAGGGTGGGCCCCCGCGGTTCCTGCCGCCCAAATTGAGGCGTCAGGGAGGTCTCCGGAGCCCGGGCCGGTGGCTGGCTGCTCCGTGGGGGTAGACAGCGCGACTGCGGTGGGGACTCCTCAGGCGTCGCGGCTCCACCTCCCAGGGCTGCCTGCATCACCGGGCGGTACCGCTGGCTCTCTTGTCCCCTCCCCTCGTCCTCCTCTCTCTCCTCCCCCTCGCGGGCTCGCTAGCGCTGCTCCTTGCCCGAGACCCAGCACAGGCGCGGTAGAACGGGTTTAATCATTATTACCGGAGCGGTGGGGGTGCAAGGAGCGGTTAAGGAGTAGGAACCTCCTGAAATGTACCGGAGGGCTTTGCCAATGCAAATGTCTCTGGCCTCACTGGTGGTCTCCAAGGTCCCCTAGCCGCATTAGGGACCTCCCTCCTCTCTTTCTAGGATTCCCCCTGCCGCTCAGCGCGGCGCGTCCTTACCCCCATTTCTAAGAGTGGTTTTGGGTGGGTTCCTGATGGGGCTGGCCTGGCTCACTTAGTCTCCTGTCTGCACAGCAGAAAGCCAGCTGAGGCGGCCTGAGCCGTGCAGTGGAAAAGTACTGTCGCCTGGTGAAGCTTTCTCCCAGGTTCTTCCAAGGTCGGGAGCCAGGCGGCTTCGCCTGAGCTGGGAGGCCAAGTCACTGCTCCAGTGTGGCTGGTAGTGCCCCTTGCTGGGAACGAAGCGGGGAGGGTATCCTTTGAGGGTGGGGGACACTTCCAGAACATTTCAGGCATCTGTGGACATAGCAGATGAAAAGCTCCTTCTTTCTAGCCAAAGGACAGCCTCTACATTCTCCACAGGATTAAAAAGATAAAAGTCCTGTTTGTGAATTCCTCCAGTATTCCCCAACACCCCTGGGGGTGGGTGTGGGGGTTGCAGCCATGATCTCATTTAATCCTCAGGACAGCCCAGGCTCAGTTAAGTGACTTGCTCAAGGTCACAAGGCTGGTAGGAGGTGGAACTAGGTCTCCACTCAGGCTTGGGTGACCCATGACCTCACTCTTCTGTCAGTCCACCATGTGCTGCATAGGGATGGGGCATTTTCCATCCTCCCCTGGGAGCCTCCTATGGGGGCTCTTACTAGGGAGGTACTCTAGTATGCTGGGAAAGACAGTTGTCCCTGAGTGTGGGGAAACTTCCCCTTTTCAGGATTTATTAAAGCACAAACTCCCTGGAATCCCAGGTCTGCCCTGACGGGGCCCAGGAATTACTGCAGTAGTCTGTCACCTAAGCCCTTTCCTTGGCTTCAGAACAGGTCACCTGGGGAGTCCTCCAGGTCAGGAATGAGCCTAGAGTCTTGGACCCGGCCAGACCAAAGCAAGTGAGCTCTGAGAGTGGAGGCAGTGATGCGTTTCACAGGGGGGGCAACCTGCAAGGCAGAGGGCATGAGTCCTGAGGGGTTGGGTTCAGAATCCTCAGGGAAATAAAAGCAAAAAATCCACAACACTGCTACATCACTGGATAATCCTAAAATGACACGTAAATAAAGAACCAAAAATTACTTAGAATTACAGCATCTTAGCTTTGGAGGAGCCTCACAAATTTATGGTCCACCGCAGCCTGACTTTATTTTATTTTCAATATGGTTAGTGCCTTTTGCTGATTGTAAAAGTAATACATGCTGTGGTAAAAATCACACCAGAAGGACATGGAAGTCCCCCTCTGTTCTCACCCTGGAGGTGTAGACATGACCTCATTTCCCCACAAGAGAACAGGCTCTGAGAAGCGCAATGATCATTGGAGTGCTCTTCATGACGCCAGATTTGCCCCTGAGCGCTAATGAAGACAGTAACTCAACTACCTCCCCTTGTGAAAAGGACCTCAGGTGGTTTTTGGCCGTAAGGACAGGTCATTGAAAAATCCTGCTGCCTCCAGCCTTGGGTCTCCTAGGTTCACCCTCTTGACCTTACTGCCTTGGGGTTCCCCTCCTGCCAAATGGCAGGGGGCTGGCCAAGAGCAAAGTCTCAGTTTGCAAGGCTGAGATACTTCCAAGCTTTTGTCTGAGGCTAGCTCCTGAATTTGCTAGTGTTAACATACAAAGACACAGGACACCTGGTTAAATTTGGGTTTCAGATAAACAACAATTCAAAGTATAAATATATCTCAAGCATTGCACACATTTTACCTGGTAACTAAACCTCCTGCCTTAGAAGAACAAGAAAGATCAAGAGGCCACAGACAGGCATGTGTCGTACTTCAGAGCCTTTCGAGGCTTGCTCACCTAGTTCTGGTTCTGTGCTGTCTCCATTGCTTTTGGAAAACCCTCTTTGGGGGTGGGGTGGAGTGGGGAGGAGGTCACCCAGGACAGTGTGAGATCAAGTGTGCAATAGTCCATTTTTAGGTTCAGTCCCATGGATCTCAAAGCAGTATTTGACATTGTTAGCCCTTGTTAATCACTCACCTTGGCTTCCTTGGCGGGGATTCCCATACTTCCTCCCACCCCGGGACCACTCCTCACTTCACAGGCTCCTCCATACAGCCCAGGCTTGGCCTTCTGCTCTTCTTCCTCCGAACTGGCTCCTTTAGCGGGCTCAGATGCCTAGAAAAGCCGGCCTTGTCCCCCACCTAGGCAGAATTCAAGGTGTCTTCTCCGAGGCTTCCTTCCCTTTACTCTGGTCCATGGAAAGCGCTCCCAACTTCACCTTGGTCATCACTACTTCATGGACTGGCCGCCGGCAGTTGGATTGCTTTCTTTTTTCAATTTAATTTTTATTTCTACTATACTTGTATTAGTTTAAAAAGTCAAACAGCTGACTTATGGTAGACATAACCTAAAATACATCAATCCCCTGCCCCACCCTTCCGCAGTGTCAGTTCTCACTTCCAAAGACAACCACTCTTTTACACATTTTCGATGACACTTCTGTCATGTGTCCTTTTTAAGTAACACTTCTAATTCAGATTTTCTACTTTTTAAGACATGATCTATTGCCTCCCTGCTATGGAAGATAAAGATTTGATGCCCTTTTATCTACCACCCCCATCACACACATTTTTCTCCTCCCTCCCAGTTTAGTTAGAATATTTCGTTGTTGTGGCATCATTATCCAGTGTTTAATTTTTATGACTATGCAAATATTCAAAGCTGGGCCTTACTGGACAACTGTTTTGCTTTTCTAGAAATATGTAATCATCTCATTGAAAAAAGAACTTCCTTTCATAACCAGCACTATTCATCCCCCAACTGTCCAACCTGGTTGAACATCCCAGGTGATTTTTAGGTCTCTGTGTTTCTTAGAGACACACCCCTCTTGGAGGCCTCCTCCCTGGGCTCCAGTCTGGACTGCTTACCCTCCAGACAGTCAGAGTTATTGTCCTGGGACTTCGCTGTGCCACAGTCCTAGGAATTGCTGTTGCCTCTCCCGGGCTGGATGCGGTTTTCTGGATCTCTTGCCCCGTCCCCCTCTTGATTTATTTCCTTGTTTTGGCAGATCATATAGTTCAGCAGCTTTGATTGATGGTTCTGCTGGGTGTAGAATTCTAGATTGGAAATAAATTTCCCTCCGCATTTTGAGGACATGATTCACTGCTGTTGTTGAAAAGTCAAATGACATTTGGACACCTAATCTTGTACGTGTGAGCCAATTTTTCTCTCTGGCAATTTGTAGAATTTTCCAGAGGGCTAAAGTTTTGTAATGATGTCCATTTACTCTGGGCACTTGGTGGGTCTTTTCATCTGGAAATCCATCTCTTTTAATCTGGAAATCAATTTTGGGGACTTTTTTTGTGCCAATTACCTCTATTCTGTTTTCTGTTTTTTTATTTTTATTTTTTATTTTAGTTGGATATTGGGCCTCTTGGATTGATACTCTAATTTTTCTAAATCTTCTTTCTAATTTTTTATTTAAAAAAATATTTGTTCTGTTTTCTGGGACATTACCTCAACTTAATCTTCTAACTTTTGTATTCGATTTTTAACTCTTCTTATAATTTTTCACTTCTAAGAGTAATTTCTTATTTTTTTTATAGCATCCAATTCTTGTTCATTATCTCTGATATCTCTAAGAATGTTAATTATAGTTGCTTTAATTTTTAATTGTGGTAAAATACACATATAAACTTTATCATCTTAACTATTCCTAAGTGTACAGTTCATATTGTTAAGTATATTCACATGGTTGTGCAACCTGTCTTCAGAACTTTTTCATCTTGCAAAATCTAAACTCTGCATCTATTAAATAACAACTCCCCATCTCTCTCTCCCCCTAGTTCCTGGCAACCACCATTGAACTTTCCATCTCTATGAATTTAACCACCGTAGATACTTCATATAAGTGGAATCATATAATATTTGTCCTTTTGTGACTGTTATTTCACTTAGCATAATGTCCTTAATGTTTCTCCATGTTGTAGCATGTATCAGAGTTTTCTTCTTCTTTTTTTTAAGGCTGAATATTAATCCATTGTATGTTATGGATTAATATAAATATATATTAAAAAATATAAACATAACACATTTTGTTTATTCATTTATCCGTTGGACATTTGGGTTGCTTCCACCTTTTGGCTATTGTGAATAATGCTTCGATGAACATGGGTGTATAAATATCTCTTTGAGACTCTGATTTCAACTCTTTTTTTTAATTTTTTTTATCCTCACCTGAGGACATTTTTCCATTTTTTTGTACAGATAGAGTGGGAGGGAGAGAGAGGAAGAGAGAGAGAGAGGGAAACATCGATGTGAAGGGACACATCGAGTGGCTGCCACCCGCACGACCAACCAGGGCCGGGGACAAACTGCAACCGAGGTACGCGCCCTTAGCGGGAACCGAACCCGGGTCTCTCCGGACCGCAGGTGGACGCTCTAACCGCTGAGCCAAACCGGCCAGGGCTCAACTCTTTGATATGCAACCAGAAGTGGAATTGCTGGATCATATATGGCAATTCTATTTTAAAAATTTTGAGGAGCCACCATACTGTTTGTCATAGCTGCTGCATTATTTTACATTGCACGAGGGTTCTAATTTCTGTACACCCTTGTCAGCACTTATTATTTTCTGTTTGTTTATTTATTTATAGTAGCTATCCGGAGGGTATCTTATTGTGGTTTT